TTGCAGCATATATACGTGCAATGGTAAAAAGTGGAAGCCCAACATGCATCAAATGGTATTGGAACGGATACTGGTGCACGTAGTATATTTCGCGTAGCTTCAGGCTTTGTGAATGCCATGTAGAGTTGTACACCTCCTATTCCTCAATGACTAGCATAGTTTTTCACGTACAAGATTTTGTATATCTTTATATTCATATTATTGCATTATCCTAGAATCTCAAGGATAATCCTGAAGTGCCTCCATATCATGCCGCCAGTAAAACAAAAATTGGAAGTGCAGCAAAGAGACTGTCTAAAGTTTCAGAATGAATGAATACCTTTGAACGAGGAGACGTCGACGTCGCTTCTGTAGGGCTTACCTTTGTGTCGTTTATTCAACTAGTTCTTTTCAGTACAGTAAAGCGAACATTCTGATTCTACGTTGTAACTAAAAGTTCACTTGTACAGATGGCGTATAATATTATATATAAGAGGCTATAAACACTACTTCCCAAAGGTCTCCATACTCACACTTGAAAGCAATGTAAAAATAGTTTCTGTGGAAATTACATGTTACCCAGTGGATAGAGAGAGAGATGAAGTTGTTGTGGTGACCAGACCTGCTCTATGTTGTCAGGTTCGAAAACTACAGCAGGTTTTTTGGAAAGAAGGTTAAAACTCAAAAGCCTGGACAGTTATCCTTCAATGCACAAGTTCAGAAATAGAGATCAATAACAGAAAATGTGATGAGTTTGTACAAAAAAGAGTTATATTAAACTACGGCATTCATGCAGTTTGGTAGGTGCAGGAAGGGATACAGGATTTTTTTATACTCATTTCAGTGGTAGCACGTAACCACATTTTTGAGAATCTGGTCAGTTAACTAAAATAACTCATGGTGTTTTCGTGATAAAATAAGCTCCCTTAAAATGAAGTAGAATTGTGGTAGAATCCAATGGGAGAAAACAGTGGCAACATTTCTGAAACTGAGAGTATACCGCGAAAAGTGTAAGTGTACCGAGATGAACTTGAAGCGCTGTACTTCAACACGATCGAACTGCAAATCTTCAAGAAAAGTGATCCAACTCACAAGAAGGACAGCTTATTCAAGAAAATTCAGTATAGCTGGGTACCAAAATAAAAGAGAGTAGCACAGGGCATCGTGTGCCGCTGCTACAGCGGCATGTCTTTGTATTTATGTGCCCAAGCCTCAGTGTACTCAAAGACACCGTGGTAACACTGATGTGCGATGCATTAAATCCATTTTGACACCCTGCTATAATAGTTGCGACAAACTTAGTGGCATACAGATATTTGTATTTCTGTATGGGTGTTGTGACTGTCTGTAGGTGGTAGACGATCGCGAACTGCCAAGTATGGTGGTACCACCCGGCAGATCTTTAACGTGGGGTCAGAATCTCTGCATGTCGATAAGGCACGTGTTTCCTAGCTAGAGTTCGTGTGACGTCCTTCCAGCCCCACGGGTGTTGAGACCCTAGTCCTCAGTGGTGGTTCAAGAATAAAAAGGCATCCCCGTTTCAATGTTACTGCTATGCCAAGAGGGCAGTCTTTTTAATAAAAACTCCTCAAACTTTGTTTTTTTGATGTTTCAGAGGATCCTGATAATTTTCAGAAATTGAAAATCAGTGGTTGGAAGTTTTAGCGGGTGTTGGAGAATATATACCATTTTTTTGGTAACAGTATACTTATACATTTCGAACACCATTAATATTACGTACCTGTCAGTTATATTTCACGCATCCACTGGCGCTCCCAGGATTTCAGTCTGGGAGGGGTAAAATGAAAAGTATATCCCCAGTGTGACGTACTGAAGTGCTATAATGATTTAACATTAAAAGCATGGACGTATGCAGACATATGAGTTTGTAACAGTAATTTTTGTAAAAAATACATTCAATTCTTTTTAATTTTGAATCATACGAAATCAAAGTGTAAATAAAGCAAATCAAGCTCGAGCAATCTTCACATATTAAAACAAAAAAGGAAAATAATACAATCTATCACACACTTTTCTACATAGCAATGTCAGACAAAACAACAAAAAATACATCTTCATTAAAAAAATAACAATAACAAATATGTTACGACTTCTATAAAGTATAAAACTGAATGTAAATTAAAATAGAATTCTTAATCATGAGAAAAACACCAAAAATACTCATTGCATAACTACATTTTTAGCCAGTTTCAAAAAACAAAAACATATAAACTATGAGACAAGATCAGTTCACAGTCTCACAATAAAACAATCATTACATTAGCTTACAAAGTGAATTGAACAGACTTTTTTATCAATCTGCCGGCCAATAAATAAAACCACATATCTTGATTGGATACTTTGGAAAAGATCAACGTGGTGGTTTAAACGTAAGTAAACCCTTAACTACATCTGCGTTTTTATTTCTTGGCCAACAGACAGGAGATGGATTTGAGAGACAACCTTAAGCAAAGTTTAGGTGTTATCATATTACAAATTCAAGGCGCCTACTATTTTTGCTGGCGAAAAGATCTATGATTGTATTCACGTCTATTTTAATATCATTATGCATATGCAAAGGACCCAAACCCTCTAATCGCTCTTGTAACATAGTGGAGCGCAGCCAAGTTTTTCATCCTCTTTAGATGGGAGAAACTTCTTTCAGATGTCGCAACACTTACCGGCAATGAAATCAATAATTGTAGGCATCTATTAATTGAAGAAAAAATGTTTTCATCACATGATAATTACAGTGACATTCCACTGTCTATAATATCTTGTGTACGTGACTTCCAAAGGTCAAATTCTGCCTTTAATCTGGGAAATTTATGTTTTCGTTACTATTTAGTCCATGCAAATATTGAGAGATTGTTTCTAATATGTCCATTACTTCAGCTTCAGTTTTTGAATTAAATACTGACGCAAAGAAAATATTAAAATTATATATATACGTATATATATATACATATATTCAAAGATTCTTCATTGAACCGGTATACCAAATCCCGTAATATATTATCTAGCAAAGGGACATATAGGTCCAGTCTGTAATGATTTTCCTTGTCAGACGTAACTATGTTCGGTCTGTTCATTTGGCTGCCTGTTATTCTTGGCACAGTCAGTTCAAAACCCAGGGCTTCACGTGATTTCATTATAGATGCGAATAGTATTCTATAGTGTTTTTCGGAATTTGCGCGTCTTTCTTGTATAACTGAAATAATATTTCCTATGACTCTGACAGCGTATTGTTTGTCAATTGTTTTTGACTGTAAAATCTTACTCAGGTTGACTGTTAAAGCTAATATATCACACAAACACTTTAGTGATACGACAAATTGGGTGGAAGTAATGGCAGTCTTCAAAGACTCCGCTTTTGAAGATGCTTCGCGGTCTTTCTAATTTGATATAATATTTAGTACCTCTACAATCTTCTCAAATTTGATTTCAAATTGCAGCACAGAATTGTGTCTCTCGGTACATCGTGTTTCGGACATACTATGAATTTGATATTCGTCTAGTTTTCTTTTTAATACTGTATTTCTTTTAGCGGATGCCTTGAAGAACGCAATGACTTCCTTCATTATACCTACAGTATTTCTTACTGCTTGGACACTGCTGCTTTTTGAAATCGAAAGTTTCATGGCATGATTCGCGCATAGGCTTTTTAGAGCATTTGGCGAACATTCGTGCAATTCCGTTACAGCGCCCTTTTGTTCACCTAACATTAGGTTACACGTGTCAGTACCAATGCCCACACATAGTTTTGAGTCTAACTTACTGGTTTTAATGAAATGCTTGACTGTTTGAACAAGAATTTGACCTGTGAGTTCGGGCTCAATTGTATCTTCATGAAAATTTCAGTAGCAATCCACAAATCCCATGAAGTCCTCGTAAATATGTTTTTTATTACAATACCGCGATAAATATAGTATTGACATTTGCGATTTATGGCTAATGTCTGTAGTTTCGTCAAATAGGTATAATACTGTAATAACGACTTTGCCTGACGCGACTCAAAACTATATCCAGGATTTCTTCGCCACAACATTTTATAATTTCAATTTGGATGCAGCATGTAGCATGCGCTATTGTGTTCTCTAAGTTTTTTTCAATGAAGTGTTACCGCTCTCGACTCTAAACCGTATTAGTTCTCTAAAATTCCCTTCATTATTAAGGACATCCTCGTCATTCGTGCCGTCATTAGAAAAAAGTCGTCCCCTATCTCTATGCCCTCTAAGTGGTATATTTTGGCCTCTCAAAAAAATTATAGATTCTATTATAGTTGAATGTAACTCAAATGATGAATAAATACCATTTATTATCGTGATTATTATTTTGAATCAGTAGAAGACACTACAATTTAATTTTCAATATAATGTATAAAATTACCTTATTAATTTTTGTTATGAGGTTTCGAGCATTAATCGTTACTTCGTAAATATGGGAGACGTAGTAAGCGAAATTATATTTTAGCGAGCTACCTAATGCTGAAAACCAGAAATTCATAGGACTGGAGTACCTATGGATTAGAATCACACAAACTCCAATCGATGGGTTTGTGTCCGCTTATTAGAGTTTCCATGGCCGCCTTCCAGCTGCATCAAAAGCTTGTAAAGATACCTTGAAATTAGTGACATTTTCCCCAATTTATTAGGGGAACAACCCATGATTTGTCCTTAACCCTTAATAGCTACCCACGGGTCAAAATGACCCATCGATATGAGGTCCCCCCCACTTCGTATCTTTATATTAAACGTGAACAGCTGGCGGTGGTTCAGTATTCGTTCAGCCGCTGTTGAAGTAAATGTGCATCGTAGTTTTAATCTAGTGACGTAGTTCATTCGACTGTAATGGCAGCCACTGGGTCAAAATGACCCGTGGATAGTATAAACGTTATTATTTTGTTCCGAATTACTTGAATATTTTATGAACTATTGGTAGTATTTTTTATATGAAAAGGTAAGTTTTAACCACCATTTTTAGTTTTTTTTTATGAAGTATTTTTTTTTTGATGTTTTCAGGTTATAATGGCTAAAGGACTTACTGATAAAGAGCTGGAACAAATTATTGAGTCTGATGAGTTCTGGGAGGATTTCGACGTGAATAATACTGCATCATCGTCATCTTCCACTTACGAATACAATGAAAATACTATTGAAAAGGAGGATAAACGTGATGCATGCGAAAAACTTTTTACGTTTGGGGACCAGAGCGATCAAGAAGAGGAAGACGAAGAGGAACTAAGTACCCACGATACGGACAGTGAGCAGGAATGGCAGCCTTCCGACGAACAAAATGAAGACGAAGAACATTCAGCTAGTACCAGTAATGAAGATGTGAATTTAAACAGAAAGGAAGTTCCAAAAGCTTTGTATGGAAAAGATAGAACAAAATGGTCTACTACTGCTCCAGTAAGAGGAAAGACTCTTGCAAAAAACATCATAAAAGTTTTGCCCGGTTTGAAAGGAAATGCAGCACAACACAAACCTCAATCTGCCTTACAAGCCTGGAAGTTGCTTCTGACAGATGAAATATTTGGACAAATTATAACTCATACTAATACAAAAATCAGATCAGTTCAAAGTCATTATGGAAAGTTCAAGAAGAAGAGCAATAGCAGGTCGGAATTTCGGCCTTCATTTATTGGTGAAACTGACAAAACAGAAATTGAGGCATTTGTTGGTCTTCTATACTTCCTTGGGTTATACAAGTCAGGCCATGAAGATTTAAGGTCCCTTTGGGCTACTGATGGAACGGGACGTGACATATTTAGATGCACGATGTCACTTGCTAGGTTCTCCTTTCTCTTATGCTGCCTTCGATTTGACGACGAACTAACACGAAAAGAAAGAATGAAAAATACCAAACTAGCCGCTTTAGGAAATCTTTTTGAAGAATTTATCCAAAAATGTAAAGGAAACTACTCACCCGGGGAATACTTGACCGTAGATGAGATGTTGGTACCGTTTCGCGGACGCTGCAGTTTTAAGATGTTTATTCCAAGCAAGCCCGCTAAATACGGTCTTAAAGTACAAGTTCTTGCAGACTCAAAAACTCATTATTTGCTAAATGCAGAAATTTATGCGGGAAAGTCGCTGGAGAAAAGTAAATGCAAATTATCTCAACCAACACAAGTTGTTCTTCGCTTGGTGGAATCGGTAATTGGAAGTAATAGAAATATCACAGGTGACAATTGGTATTCTTCTGTAGAGTTGGTAGATGAGTTAAGTAAAGTAAATGTAACCTACGTGGGCACTCTGAAAAAAAATAAAAGGTGTATTCCTAAAGAATTTTTGCCGTCTAGATTGCGTCAAGAATTTTCAACAGAGTTCGGCTTTACTTCTGGAAAAACTCTCGTTTCATATGTACCGAAGAAAAACAAGTCAGTGATTTTGATTTCCAGTATGCATAATGATTCATCTGTTGATAATGAAACAAAAAAACCGGAAATCATTTTGTTTTACAACGACACAAAAGCTGGAGTAGATGCCCTCGATCAAAAATGTTCCAATTATTCAACTTCCAGGAAAACTCGCCGTTGGCCCATGGCATTATTCCACATGATGCTAAATGTTGCAGGAATCAATTCTAGAGTATTAGTTCAATTTTCTAAAAATGGAGAAGAAATAACAAGAAGGAATTTCTTGTTTAATTTAGCTCGTAGTTTATGTCAACGCCATATTATGGTTCGTATGTACAATAATAAGATTCCCCGTAAACTCAGAAGTTTGATGGCGAATATACTGGGAATTTCTCTTGATGTTGAAGCACAGTCTACTGAACGCATTCCTCCTTCCAAAAGAAAGCGGTGTGCTACTTGCCCATCTAAAAAGGACCAAAAAACTAGTACCTTCTGTGACAGCTGTAAAAATCCAGTATGTCGTAATTGTGCCAAAAACATATGCCCAAATTGTTTTTGATTTGCTTTTCAACACTTACATGTTATATTACAATATAAACGTTTGTTTACTTTTGTCAATAAAATTATTTTGATGTTGTTTTTCTTTTAAATTTAATTTTTTTTATCTGGGTCATATTGACCCTTGGGTAGTTCAAAAGTGATTGTTTTGGAAGAGTAGCTATTAAGGGTTAATTAGTCTTGTCGGTGGTAAACGCTCCAACAGCCTCATAACTTGGTAGGTAGCGTAACACTCTCGGACCTTTGTTTACCCTTTTTAGTCTGCTTTAGGAATGGCATTACTGGAGGTAACGGCAATGCATATAGGTGCATAGTGAGTATTTGTGTGCTAATAAATATGTGTTGATGATAATTCTATTGGATTCTTGTCTCAAATACACTTACTTGAGATTAAAAGCTAGAAATTAGTTGCGCATCCACTTTTTCTAATCCATTCTAGAAATTACATATGCAAATTTGCTGAATTTCAAAAATGAGAGAGATGAGAAGTCATATACGTGCTAACAGTAATTACTCACAACACGGGTGCGGTGGTGATTTCCCGTAATTCTCCTCAAAGTTTTTGGAAACACAAAAAAACGTACAAAATCGTAATTTATAACTTTGAACATAAGCTGTCTGCAGAAAGGACAACATATAAGTAACACGTTGGGCACAGCTATATAATAGATGTACTTCATTGGTAGCATATTCAGTAATGATTTTCACACCAAATATCACTGATTTCATACACATGCAGACCAACACACATAATCATCTAGATGCGATCTTGCTATTTAACCAACTTTCTTCTCAGAGATGAAAACTATAGACTACTCGGCTTCACAAAACATAGACAACCAACAATGCGTGTAGTTGAGCTATTTCTCCATAGATAGATGCTCACAAAGATCCTAGTGAGCAAACATTGAAGGACTGTCTGCAAGATGACGTTTTATAGGTTCTTTTTCACGTTTTATAGGCTTTTACATAATACACGTGAGGGTCACCTATAGATGACCTTGGACGGCTACTTCACTTACACTCTGTATTGCTCAAACGTCGTAAGCACACTCTACTAGCAACAACCTACACAAAGACTGACAACATATTTTCACGTGAAATGAAAGCACGTGCTGCAGTGAGCTCATTAGATGCGCAAAAGTAAGTTAGTCCATAAAGCAGAGCAAATAACGCAACAACACCTGGCTGCTAAAAGAGGAGCTAGTCTCTGAAGGGAAACACTGAGAAATTGCAATGTTCCATTTAAAACTTTGTCAGGGAGAGTTATTAAAAGTTCCAGCTAATGTTGGATTATGAATTAGATGCCCTTTGCTTTTAGCTCCTGCTGTTAGAAGTGATGATGGGTTAATGGCTTCCTCATCTTTTGTCTGGGAAGTAATTTTCTTCAAATAAAACGCTGTTGTACTTCCTACGCAATTGTTTCAGTATCTGTATTGCCAAGAAAAAGCACAATAGTCAGTGAACTTATTATTTTTTGCTAAAATACATCACTTCATGTTTCAGGACCTCTGAAGGAGCTAGCCACTCGTACTAGCGAAATGTTAGGAAGAAATTCCAACCGACGACGGCTTTTAGACCCGAATCAAGACAGCAGTTTAAACAGTACAGGGCTCTTCAAAGTGGGGACATTTCATTACATAGCGTGTAGGCGAAGCAATATTAAACAATTTTTCCTAGTATCACATATACTATGGCTTAAATATTGAGTTCCGAAGATCAACAAGCCCCTCCTAAGTCAAAGGGCATGATGTGCTGTGGCGCTATGACCATGCGGGTCAGTATCCAAAACAGACACCGCGCGGTATGTAGGTTAACCTAGTGTATAAGCAAACCGCATTTGAAAATCGAAATTGGCACATTCTCATAGCAATAAAGTAGTTATTATTCAGCACGTTGCAGTCGTCGTCGTCCTAGATATTTCCATCAGAGCTGCGTAGGTTTCTTTATATTGTGAAAAGACATCTGAGTGGATATAGTGGAAGATCTACTTAGCCCCAAGTATTGCAAATTTCGGAAGAAGTAAACAAATTTGTGTTTTGAAATCGACCAAGCAGTATTTACAAACAAAATAAGTGCTGAGCAGTACGTGAAATTCCTCACTAAATAAATATTGAGTATTTTTCGTCAATTTCTTCTTCGTTGTTATTTCGAACAGGACAGTGTCTACTTCCACTAGTAGGAGAACGTGCATGCCGTTTTTTTATATCTTTGAAAGTTTTTATATAAGACTATAGAATAATGTAGTGTTTAGCCCGACATTTATGACTGGTTGGGCCAATGGGAGTGAAAACGGGCTGGTTTGGCTGACTTCGTTGATTAAAGGATGGTTCATGCCTCACCTTAGATGGCTCAGGTCTTCTTGGTCTCCATTTCTAAGCTCTTGGGGCTCCATGTTCGCGCCAGCTCTGCTTTCTCTGGTTGGTTTCAATGAGGGTACTCTTAATATGGTGGTACTATCCGAAAATAAATACGGGGATAACATAAATAACTTCCTGCTGAGATCATGCATGGCAGTTCTATCGATATTCGCACTCTCTCGATATTTCCGGTAGAATGCAAAGAACCATGCCGCTAGAGGACCCTGGCAATATACCTGTGTGGTCTGTACATGGGAATCTAGCGGAAGCATTTGGTAAGAACTGAGGAGATGCATATGCTCAATATTTTTCTAAGCGCATAATGCCGCTCTCAACCTACACAAATAATAATTTATATTAGCTATAGTCGCATACGTTATTAATCCAGAAAAATTATTTAAAATGTCTAGACACCTCTATTTTAGAATACAAGACTTCTTACGCAAAATGGCAGACCTACTGTCTTACAAGACTTCAACCAAGAGCAAAGGTCCTACGGACTGCTCTGATAGACAATGACGAATAGAATGACATATCTATGGTTTCAACGTTATCATACATTCAAGTTGAGACATAGAGTAACCCAGATGAAGTCAGGCAGTGCATTAATACTACAGTCCAATCAGGAATCTGATTCTTATGAGGTGGACCACTACTTCAAACCTCAATAAATCTGGCAGGCTGACACGATGAGCAATGCACCGCCACCGACTTAGACATTTTGAATCCAGCCGTGTACTTTTCTACTTATGTTCCTGGTTCCATTTCAATTCCGCTATCCTGTACTGAACAGAGATACTTACAGAGTTGTAGTAACTTATTCCGGAGGATCGTAAAACCAGCCCTCTAAGCAATATTTTATTTTGCATCTTGTTTCTTCAAGGACTCCTGTCCCTGTCATATATCAGGTTCTTATTTAGCTTGTCGTGTTTTTACTGTTCCACAAGTATGGCTTTTACCGACTACCTTTGCTTCCACTTTTGAAATATTTATTCCCCACAAAGCTTGCTTTTTGCTTCTTATGCATACTAAGGAGTAATAAAATTTCAGTTTTATGAACGAAAGATATGGTTTCATATGTGGCCCTTTATTGGCGATAAAAGCCGAGTAGTCCTTACAACTGAAATTATACTTCACCGCACAGAGGGAATTGTTTGGTTCAAATAACACTTTTTTTTGAAGTTTCATGGATATGTTGTATCGTTTCAGGTATAGATCACATATTCGCTGATTTTAAGCTGGCAGTTCGATAATCTTATTCCATAGTTGCTATTCTGATTGCCAATTATTAAGAGAGAAGCATCATACCATAAACGATATTTGAAGGAGTAATACAACTTCAAACTGGTCAGTTTATTTTCCCCGCAAGAAAGTATTGTGATAGCCAGAATTTGAAAAATGAGATATATGGGAATTGTGACATTTCAGAGGCACTTGAGATTGAAAATTAAGGGCTGGGATTGTAGGAGTGAGGGAGAGTATAATTTTGTCGTCAGTACATTTATACAATTTCAATAACAGTAGTTCTTCTACCCAGCTATCAAACATATTTCATACTTCACATATTTCTCCGTAAATTTGTCCTTGAAATGTCGTGATGATAAACATATTTATAAAACGCATCGCACATAATGCAACGTTGCCAGATGAGTGGTACTGTCGGTAGGGTAGGGGAGAAATTTATGTATCCTAACGTTGTAAAATGGTTGGGGACTATGGAATAATTCTACAGGCCTGTTTGATTGACCATTCATTTTTTTATTAAAGATATATAGCTAACTTCTTGTCGAAGGGGCTTACTCAAGTTCTCAGCTTAATTTTCATCCTATGCAGATTCTTGATCTTAGAACTGTTTTTGAAACTTGTCCGCCGATTCAAGCAATAGGCTGTTTCAATGCGGCGATCTTGTATGCTTTAATATTAAGGCAAATCCAACTTTAGCTAAACCACCTAGGGAAGCGGAGTATTATAATAATGATTCTCACGTATACTTAATGCATAATTATATTATTTGCTATTCAAGTAGTAGGTGGTTTCAAAGTGGCAATGTGATATACTTTAGTATCAAAGTAAATTCAATCCTAGCTTGACCACCTAACTACGTGCAATATTATAACAACTATTCTCACATTTAGGACACATAATGACTATATTATTTGTTCTAAAAATATTTGGTGATGACGTCTACACATTAATTTTTAAGAGCATTCCTCGTTCTTTAGGAGGTCGACCCGGGCTTGTATTGAACGGCTACAGATTTTGAAACTAATGAAGTTCGTGGTTTCCCTATGGAATCATTAGACTCATATACTGTCATTTTTCCATTACTGTAAACACTTACTTATGTTCTGAGAAAAAAAGACGATGTGAATTTTTCTGAGCAGTTTGTTCCATAAGAAGAAAGTCATAACAGTTGATCGTTTAGATTTTAATAGTTTTACATATCGACTCACAAACTGACACTACCTATTACGGTAGTGGCGCATTGACGAAGCCCGCTGTATGGATAAAAAGCTTTTCGTATTTGAACTAAATACAACAGTCGTTCAACTCAACTGGTTGCTATGTAAACTACATGTAAAAGATAAATGAGTTTCCATCTTCAATGTGAATATCTTTTTTAGGTTTTTATATTCAGGAGAAACGTATTTCCAGTAAGAGGGCTATTTCGCCAGCAAAAATCAGAAAATGCATTCATGAAGTTGTTTTTTTCCTGTCAGGTATGAGTAAATCCCAACTCACGCCGATAGCACTGATAATATCTCACATCTCCTAGTCAATTTTTCTCACGTTTCCCTACGTGTAAATATTAGCTTCACCTCTGTTAGGCCAGGAACCGTGTTTATTCCCGTAGTTTATTAAAACACGGTATGAACAGAACTGGTCTAAGGCCTAACTGAATCTTTTTGAGTATATCTAATTGACATGCACACTCAGTTTATACAAAGTAATAGTCAACAAGAAATATAGTTGACACTAGCCACCTATGAGTAGTTTCGCCAGATCATACTGACATCCGCACATACGGCATAGAAGCTCACCGTCGAATCTATAAGAGCTTTGGCGGAATGCCCAATAAGACTGCCTCATACCTCATTTTAACGAAAGCCTATCATGTTGAGCATCTGAGCACTGAAGCTTAAGGCACACATGCTTGTGAAATGATGTTTCATAATTTTCTCACCACCTGAAACAGACATGACCTTTACCTATTCTAATTAGGGAAGGATGTTCATTCAATTTGTAGTGACATGTAGTAAACACAACTACAAAATTAAAGGACTACCTGCTTTTGTTTAGCTACTACCCATCAGCTAGTTTAAGCTTGTCTGCAACTGTTATGAATATCTTGGCCTCTCACAGGTGGCGCTGTCTAACGATTAGCATTAGTTTAACCTTGCAAAGTCGTGGCAGCGGATTGGGACCAATAAGAATGCCGCTGACGCCGTGTCAGTCTTTTAAGAGAGCTACAAATTTAAGAGATCTAGGTTTTGGAAGATAGATGCTTCCTCGTTATTACTTGAGGTGTGACGTTGGTAGAGAGAGTAACTACAGTCTTGACTGCAAAGACCATTAAAAATATTCATAGAGCGTTTAAGAAATTTAGAGGAAAATTCATTATCAGTTGCAAAATTTTATTTTCTATACCTTTTAACATGATACAGTTAAGTTTCTATGAGTGGATGTGTTCTGTGTTGTCTTTCCTTTCGATGAGACTAGTCGGAAGCATAGAACGACAGTCCTTAATTGATATAGTTAATATTTTAATTTGCATCAATTTTGTTTTGTTTTTTTAAAGTTTAATTCTATAAGGTTAACAGTAGAGTTTTTCCCGGGCATGGCATATGAATTACTACTGTAAGAGGTACTTAAAAAAGAAGCTTGTTTTGCACGGCTGCAGGTAAAAACATTATTTATTTAGTTTTTTGTGTACTAAGTATTTCAAATATTTGTCTACCTATATTAATTTCTATACTACTTTCTCTTTTCTCATCCTTTTCTCTTTCTTTCTTTCTACCACTCCTTCTATGCGCTGCGCACATATTGATGTCAGATCTCTCTCTCAATTTGGACAGTTTTAAAGAGGTTGTTTTTTGATAGTAATTATCATATAGCTGGCGTTACAGAGAGCTGGTAAGACCGCGTGACACCGCGGCGGTGGTGTTGGAATATATCTAAAATCTAACCTAAAATTCAATATATATAAGACATAGTTGAGCATATTTGGGTTAAAATCCAGCTTGAAAAAGAAATACTCATAGTTGGCATTATTTACAGACCACCTAGCTCTAACGGTAAGGAATTCCTAAATTATTTTGCAGACATTTCGATTGACCTCAGTACTGAGTGTAACCAAATTGTATGTTTGGGCGATTTCAATATATTTTATATCGATTTTTCAAATGTCACCCAACTAAATGATATTCTAAATACCTTTTACTCAAGTCAAGTGGTGTCTGAGCCAACACGAATATCAAACACTAATGCTACTTTGATCGATTTAATATGCTGTAATCCCGAGATGGTGAAGGATATGGGCATTCGGGATCCCAGATCACCTTCTTGTTTATGTGGATTTGCGTATAACAGCTATCGAGCCGCTCAATCTTTGTTATCAATTTAGGGCTTTACATCGACTAAATCTAGCTCTGTTTCAGATTGACATTGAGTCGGTACCTTGGGACAATATATATCAAATAGATGACTTCGAACATCATTTTTAACAGACACTATATTGCATATTTTCGATTCCCATGCATCCCTAAAAGACTGCAATGGTCGAAAAAGACCATACAGTCCATGGATCACAGATAACATTAAGTTTGTGAAAAGGCTGACGAAATGAAGCTGTTTCTCGTTTTAAACGAACACACCAGCCTGGTCATCGAGACTATTATAAACAATTAAGAAACCTGACCACTTCCGCTATTAGAGCCGAAAAAAGGCATATCTAAATTTAAAGTTTCAGAATTGCCCAGAAAAGGAAAAATGGGCTGAACTAAAGAAACTAAATATACTTAAAAATAAAAATAAATACATTCCTGACCATTCAAGGAATGGTAATGAACTTATTACCTGCTTTGTCCAAATATCCCAAAATAATACTCCAAAACAAGAAGTGTTGCATATCTATAACAACTCCTTGCTTAACGAAACCTTCTCATTTATTCTAATCGACGAAGATTTTGTTTTAAATAGTATCCTCAGTATCAAGACGAACGTTACCCTGATTTCCTTGTGTTGCCCGTTTATAGTTCCTTATATTACCCATATTATAAATAGTTGTATTAAAAGGACTTATTTTCCTAAAAGTTGAAAGCTGGCCAATGTTCTTCCATTGGCTAAAGTTAACAATCCGACAGAATTTAGTCAACTATGTTCAATCTCGCAGTTACCGACCCTCTCTAAACTTCTGGAAAAGGCAATCGCTATACAAGTTGCTAACTACGTTTTTGCCAACAATGTAATCGCCCTAGACAGTCAGGGTTTAGTACCGGGTACAGTTGTTCCACAGCTTTAACAGATCTTGTGGATGATGTCATCAGAGAACAGGATGCGGGAAATGCTACTGTCTTGGTGTTATTGCACTACACTAAAGCATTTGACATGATTAATCAAGAGATTCTAGTGGCTATTCTGAAATATATTGGTTTAGAGCAGCCGGCCTATGCATTAATAAATTCTTTTTTGTCTGAAAGGATGCAGTGCGTGACTTTGGACGGGAACATATCAGATACAGTTACAATTACATCAGGGGTGCACCAGGGCAGTATTTTGGGTCCATTACTGTATAGCCTATATACTTTTAATTTCATGAAGTCGCTAAGTTATTGTCAATATCATCTTTATGCTGACGATGCTCAAATTTATGCCTCTTTTAAACCTGATCTGTCAGAACTTGAAACAGACCGACCGAATACCGACTTCTCAAAACCTCTGAAGATCACTTGTTAAAGATAAACCCAAGTAAATCGACGGCTATATTGTTTTGTAGTGATTCATACAGAAACGTATTAGAAAATAATATTAAGCTTAAACTAGGGGACAGTATAATATCATTTAGGGATTCCGTGAAGGATTTAGGCTTAGGGGTCGACACCAAACTAAAGTTTAGAGAGCACGTTACTCTGTGCCTAAGAACAGCATATTCATTTACATTACCTATCACAAAATACTAAAGAAACGCTCTGTCAAGCTTTAGTGTTGTCCCACTTCAACTTTGCTGATATGGTATATGGCCCATTTCTTGCTAGTGTGGAACTAAAGCTCAGAATTCTTGTCTGAGGCTGATATTTGGCATAAGGGGTAGAAAAAGAGTATCCCACAAACTACCTGAACTGGGATGGTTGAATATGGCTCAGAGGCGTATCTTGCACTCTACTTCCTTTTTTTACAAGATTATAAAAGATAAAATAGATTCACTTAAAAACTAGTTACCGGACTGATGTACATAATCTAAACATTAGAAGGTTGAATTTCATTACAATACCATCACACAATAAAGAATCATTTAAGAAATCATTCTCATCTCTCGGTAGCTATATTTAAGAGGATCCTTAAAAGTGATTTACTGTCTCAGATATCATAGAAAACATACCTCCTGCTCCCACTTTTCTCTTCCTCTTCTCTTTCCCCTCGTTTTCTCTTCTCACTGTAAATTTCCATTTCTCTACTTACTATACTATATTTCTTAATATCAAAACATAAGTAATTATCAATGTCCTAATAGCCATTTGAATTATTATAGAATTGTTTATATATGCTTTTTTTTGGGCTCTAGCAGCTGCTTCTTTAAGGGGCAAGCTGATTTAGCCCTTTATTCTCTTAAGGCTTTTTGTTTGTAAACTTTTATATACCGTTTAATGAGGGTAATAAATATTATTATTATTATTAATCGTTGTCGGAAAACTTGTTATACCATCTTGTAGAGTACAATGCTGGACAGAGATAATGAAACCATTGCCTGTGGAGAATGAATCGATAAATAATCAATAGTCTGGAGACCTATGCACTACAAAGATCGAATATTTACTGCTGAATAGAATGTTTAAGTTAGTGCATTCTGTCAGAGTTACCAGTACGCCTGCGCGACGGTCCAAAGCTATCAATTTACATCTATCTGGACCTCATTTTTTGAAAACGATGTAGTAGAATCACTGAGAGGGAGTGGGAGTATTTCTGTTCCCTGGGGAATGATGCAAAATTTTGACTGTTGTTAACATTTGTTAAAAAAGTCTGTGAATACATCCGTTTTCACTAAAATAATATATTTCTGAGCTCTTCACAGTTCCATAACAAACTGAAGTTCGTCTTTAAAAAGACTAGTGGATGACGACGGAACTTTCGCACTTCTACTGAGACAAACCTGGAAAGAGATCATCCTAACAGTCTTCCAAGTTCCCTGAAACGTTAAGGAACCACACCCACTTTCTCTCAGCTGTTCTTCTTCCTCATTCCGAGAATTATCCCACTGGAGTGGACCAACTTTTGGCTTTCACATTACCGCATTCAACTTTGTACTATGACCACCTGTATATTCACCAACCCTCCAAACCTTGCATCCACTTCGGTGGGACCTGTACAATAACTATAAACGCCGAAAACATACAATTGCCCTGGATTATTCAACTTTGCGGTGAAGTTATGCTTGCGCGACGCGTCCACGCCATAAACAAGTCCATGCGGAATTCTCTTAGCGATACTGGGTATCTGAGGAGGTGCTACACTCTCTACACAATATACATGTCATTCTGTAATTGCGCTAGCTCTCCAGGTCCTCTCCCGGGTCTCTTGTTAACTTCGGTCTTTCTCACAGTGCTGGCGCTCAGGGGCATTTGTTTTATAGTATCGGACATCAGAACTAACCAGTTATCGATAGACTAAGGGCTAGCCAAATATTTAATGTATTGTTAATCGCGACCGATCTGTCTGTCAAGGCTAGATGACAGTTGCTCAGCCTGCGTTCGTTGTCCTACCTGGGATCAAGCCTCCCAACCCAACTAGCAAAGTAGTGGTATAAGCTTTTGGTAAAAGAACCGTTCAGCCGTAAAAGCTATCTATTGTTGTTGCCTGAACACCAAAATGCTGGCTTAATGTTGTGGGGAATGCAAATTTGCTTTCTGCAATATATTTGCTCTAAAATGAGGTGTTTAAAATATTCTTATAGCATAGTTATACAACACCTTATAGGGCAAATTTTTAACTGTTGCATAAACGTTTATACAACTATTTTATACGGCATATTTGCAAGTTAGTCAAAATGGTTGTGTTGTGGCACCCATGCTAACGTTTATAAAATAAACCCGAGCCTTGTTGCTTTGTTGTGCAATTTACTACATTAGCCAACAAATTGATCCCAACGGAAGCACTTATACAACTGTTACATATGCTAAATATGTTGGTATACAACTTCACCATAACCTAACTTTCTGCTGTCATATTTTTGTTAAAATGCCATAACTAATGTTTTAAGATAAACAACGCATGCATATCGGTTCAAAAGGTTTTATCAACTGTTCAAACAGAAGATATAGATCTGGTACAAATTCTGGATAAATCATTCGACTCTGTCGGTATTTCATTTCAGACATTTGTCAAATTGTTGTATAACACCTGCAGGCAACACCAAAATATTCGAATAACCTAAAGACAACATGGACGATGCCATGATTGTAAATACATAACCACCCGCCATATTGGGCAAACATTTATTCCTCTATTTAATATTAAATAATTATGTTTCAGTTCGAAATTACAGATATAAAGTGATAAACATTAGTGTAATTGTGTCTAAAATATAGGATTTGTGGAAGATTTAACGCAGATAAGTTCAGTTTTCCATCTTAAAAATCTAGACATACCAAATACGAAGCCCGTAGAAATTGGGTAACTAATTTGCACGATAATCACAATAAAATTTGCTGCGCAAGTAATTCAATAGCCCTATATCAAAGTGTAGAAGTTTATCATATACCTGTGTATGAAATTCACAATGGCCGATATGTAAGTAAACATGATGACTGTAATGTGTTAGTTATATATTATTCACTTCGTCTGTACACTACATAGGAAATAGTTTGGTTGCAATAAAGTAGAATCACGTAAGATAATAGTTGTATAGTGGACAAAAACTGAATATTGCACTGACACAAATGTCCTATAGCGGCTGCAAGAGGCTTACACTTTTGTTTTATAACTGTTACCTGCAACCCTTATATAACCTCTTAAATGACTGAAGTGGCCATTGTGAATTTCATACACAGGTATATGATAAACTTCTACACTTTGATGTAGGGCTGTTGAATTACTTGCGCAGCAAATTTTATTGTGATTATCGTGCAAATTAGTTACCCAATTTATACGGGCTTCGTATTTGATTCATATTTTGACAAAGATCAAAAGTATGTCTAGATTTTTAAGATGGAAAACTGAACTTATCTGCGTTAAGTCTTCCACAAATCCTATAATTAGGCACAATTACACTAATTTTTATCACTTTATATCTGTAACTCAAATAGAGGAATAAATGTTTGCCCAAAATGGCGGGTGGTTGTGTACAATCATGTCTTCGTCCATGTTGTCTTTAGGTTATTAGAATATTTTGGTGTTGCCTGCAGGTTTTATACAACAATTTGACAAATGTCTGAAATAAAATACCGACAGAGTCGAATGATTTACCCAGAATTTGTACCAGATCTATATCTTCTGTTTGAGCAGTTGACAAAACCTTTTGAACCGATATGCATGCGTTGTTCGTCTTAAAACATTGGTTATGGCATTTTAACAAAAATGTGACAGCAGAAAGTTAGGTTATCGTGAAGTTGTTTACCAACATATTTAGCATATGTAACAGTTGTATCAGTGCTTCCGTTGGGAGCAATTTGTTGGCTAATGTAGTAAATTGCACAGCAAAGCAACAATGCTCGGGTTTGTTTTATAAACGTTAGCAGGTGCCACAACACAACCATTTTGACTAGCTTGCAAATATGCAGTATAAAATAGTTGTATAAACGTTTATGCAACAGTTAAAAATTTGCCCTATAAGGTGAAGTATAACTATGCTATAAGAATATTTTAAACACCTCATTTTTGAGCAAATATGTTGCAGAAAGCAAATTTGCATTCCACACAACATTAAGCCAGCGTTTTGGTGTTCAGGCAACAACAATAGAGAGCTTTTATGGCTGAACGGTTCTTTTACCAAAAGCTTATACCACTACTTTGCTAGTTGGGCTAGGCTATGGCGATGAGTTGCCCAAAAGCACAAAACACATGTCCATGATTAACAATCTGTGGTTGGCCGGATTGAAGCTAAATTACTCGTATCTATCTAACTGCGTTAAAGAGTTTAGCCTGCATGTCCAAACGTCACTGCTTGTCGGGTAGACCTATTACCGTCACCCTCTAGATACCCTCTGGTACTGGGTCCAGCTTTGATCCTTTGAACTGTCTCCAGAGCCTTGACGCAGGGCTTCGCATATATCCTTTCGCTTTTAGATTTAAAAATACTAATGCCTGAAACCCTAGATCTATCAGACCTTCAGTCCATCCTCATACTTTCAGGAGAACCGGTGTCTTATCAGGCGACTCTCTAAATCTATAATCTATATCGTAGTAAGAAGAATGTGTAACGCCTCTGGTTTATCTGTCTACTTCCAGATCGCAGCGATATCCAGAGTTTGGATGTATCAGTACAGTCACGTCTGTACCAATCCTCTTGCGATTTTCTAATGCTGAGAGCGATTTGTTATTAGAACGGTGTTTCTAGAGAAAATCCTAGAAGATAACTGAAAGTGAGTGTCATCATTACTGCATTAGTCTTTCGGAAAAGTCACGAAACTAAGCTGATTATGCATTCCACGCCGCATACTGGCATCATTTAACATAGTATTCCAATCGGAAGAGCCACATATAGCGAGTAGCGAATACGTCATTAAGGTGTAAATACGTGTTTTAGTAGCTCCGTTGTAGCTTCTTAGATCGGTAGTGAGACCCAATTGAAAATTTGTTTGCGAGTATCATAGTTACGCTCACGTAATTGCTGAGCATTGGGCAAGTTTTCTAGTTCATCTTTAATAGTTTAACGCAGTTCTTTGATAATAAAATAAAGCTAACCTCTACAATCTCTGGTGGAATTTCTGGAATTTTCATTGAACAAAGTGGAAATAGTTTCCAGTGGCGTACTTGTGTTGATTTAGAAAACAAACATTTGCACACAAAATTCAGAATTATGCCAGCTAGAGTCCCTTATAGCTGCTGTAATCAACAGTGTGAGCCTAATCAAATTGTTACGTGCTGTGTTTGTAAGCACAAATATAAGCATTCCTGTGTGGAAATCAGCCAAACGAGGTTCGTGCTTTAAATTCGAGCAAGGGGTACGATTGGACCTGTAAGGACTGCAGATCCATAGGTAAAGACATTAATGACTTGAAGGGACTAATCATCGATTTGCGTAATCAAATCAAGGATTTGAAAGCTGATAACACCAAAAATTCAGATTCAAGTTTTTCCATGGAAGACATCATATCTGAGATTTCAGAGCGTGAAAGACGTCTTTAATGACACTGAGCCTGATCAAAATAAAGCCAGAAGTGAGCAAAATGAATCTGATAAAACAGTTGTCGTCAACTTGTTACGTGAAGCTGTCCCTGACGTTAGCCTAACCAACATAAAAGTGATGAGATTAGGAATGTTTTGCGGCACAAAAGTGAGACCCATCAAGGTAATACTTGACAGCTATGACTCAGCATTGCAAGTTCTGGTGAATGCGAAAAAGCTTAAATCAAGTAATACCTTCAAGCATGTAAACATTGTACAGGATCGCACCAAAAGGCAAATGGAGCATTATTAAAGTATCAGAACTGAGTTAGCCAGGCGTCATGAAGTAGGACATAATAACTGTAGGATCAAGTTCATCAACAATGTACCAAGGATTGTTCCTTTAAACTAGGTCGGCAGAAATAGTGGATGTAGTGATTTTTTGACCGTGTACTATCAGAATGTTAGAGGGCTAAAAGGCAAAATTAACAAATTCTATCCTGCTGTGAGTGACTGTGATTATAATGTACTTGCTTTAAGCGAAACGTGGCTAGAGCCCGAAGTAAACTCTCTCTCGACTTATTTCCCAATTCTTTTGACGTTCATCGTAAGGACAGAAAACATAATCAATTGAACCTGTCAATGGGTGGTGGTGTACTACTGGCATTTGAATCGGCTCTTACCTCTGTTGTAGTAGATACTACGCAGTTTGATACAAGTTTCCCTGAAATAGATTTTTTTGGATGCAAATGCATTGTATCTCATCAGAATGTTTATTTCTCTGTCATACATGCTGCACCACATGTTTCTGTTGATATATTTGAAGCTTTTTTTGAAATGTTAGAAAACAGGGAAATCATGCATTCCAAACGTGTTGTCTTTCTGGGTGACTTCAATTCTCAAACTTTGTGGAAAATAATTTAAATGACGCAAAGACCCGCTACATTGTTAATTGGCTCAACTTCTGGAACACGAAACAGTATAATAATATTCATAACCAATATGATAGAATCCTGGACTTAGTAATAAGTAACATTGATTGTATTGTTTATAGAGATTTAGCTCCATTAGTAGATGAAGGCGTGTATCATCCTTCTTTGTCTGTAACATTAAAAACTATATGCAAAAAGAGGGAATACGTCACAGTCAGTACTGACCAAACAAGATATAATTTTAGACGTGCTAACTTTTTTTCGCTGTATAATTCTTTGTTATTGGTTAATTGGGATTTCTTGGATAACACTAGTGACACAAATGATGCAATTAATGCATTTTATACCAAACTTTAGGAATTATTTGATGCACACGTTCCACAATATAAAAATTACAGGCATAAATATCCCTCTTGGTACACCAGTGAAATTATAAAACTAGTAAAACAAAAAGACAAAGCGCACACAAAATTTAAAAGGTCTGGTGCTAACGAAGATTACCAAGAATTCGGCAGACTCAGGAAAATATTTAAACTTAAAACCAAAGAGGCATATTATATCTATCTTCGAACCATTCAAAATCAGCTAAATGATGACCCTAAGTCTTTCTGGTCTTTCGTACATAGTAAAAACAACACTTCTAGGATCCACAATAGAATGCGGTATGGTAACGAGTCATTTGGTGATCCGCAAAGTATAGTCAACGCCTTCGCTGATTTTTTCTCCAGCGTTTACTCAACTGCTGATGTCGATACTGAGTTGAACTTTGATTTCAGTCATAGTGGACTCGTCGACATTAGTTGTGAGCCAATATCAGATGCGGAAATTTTAGTGGCCTGTACAAAGCTTAAAAGTAAGTTGACTGCTGATCAAATCCTATCCTTTATTGTTAGAGATTGTATCAGGAAATTAGTACATCCTTTACTGGTTATCTTCAATTTAATCCTAACAACGACTGTTTTCTCCGATAAATGGAAATTTGCCAAAGTTTGCCCAATTCCAAAGTCAAAAAATTATCACTGTATCAGTGATTATAGGGCTATATCTATACTCAATAATTTTGCAAAACTCTTGGAGATCGTACTGTACAACCGCATATACCTGTCCACTAAAAATAATATTTCCATCGATCAACATGGCTTTATAAGGTAGCGTTCAACATTAACAAACATAATGGCATTTAGCCAATACTTGTGCGATAGATTAGACAATAGACGACAGGTAGATGTGGTGTACACAGATTTCTCCAAGGCCTTCGATAGGGTCAGCCACAGTATTTTGCTCCGAAAGCTTGAGTACCTGGGCTTCAACAACATTTACTTAGCGCTCTTAATATCATATCTGTTTGAAAGGAAACAGTATGTTTTTTATAATGGCTACATATCACATGTTTATGTCTTAACCAGTGGCGTACTACAGGGTTCGAATTTAGGACCACTGTTGTTCATATTGTTTGTGAATGATCTGTGTGAATCTTTGGCTTGTTCTAAGTTAATGTTCGCAGACGACCTAAAATTTTATTCATCCGTTTCATGCTTGGAAGACTGTACATTTGTTCAAGGTCAAATAAATAAATTGCAAAGATGGCGTTCCAAGAATCAACTTCATCTTAATATAAGTAAGTGTAAAGTAGTAACTTTTTCAAGGAAAACCAACCTCTTGGTATATAATTATACATGTTCTTGAGTGCAGTGAAACTGTGAAAGACTTATGTATCTACTTTGATCAACATCTAACCTGTAATGAGCATATCAATCAAATCATTTCAAGCGCTTACCGAACCTATGGCTTCGTTATCAGGAATTGTAAATCTTTTGACGTTTTGACTTTGCAGACATTATACTTTAGCTTGGTTAGGTCTAAGCTTGAATATGGATCTTTGATATGGAGTCCGATTTACAAGCAGTATATTGATGTTGTTGATAAGCTTCAAAAGAAATTTTTAAAATTTTCATGTTTTAAGATCGATGGCATATATCCTACTAGAGGTACAGAATACAACATCCTTCTTCATAAATTTGGCATTCAATCCTTAGAACAACGGCGTATGCAATCAGCAGTTATAGTATATAAATTACTGCATAATCTAATAGACTGCCCTACAATACTTTCACAAATACAGTTTCTGGTACCACGACTAACACCAAGGTATAAAGTTCCTTTTTTATGTCAAAGGGCTCAACAAACTTATTATAGAAAGCGCCTGTCAACATGATGTGTGTGAATGCGAATAAAATAGCCGATTTATGTGACATATTCTTATGTAGCATAGGTGAATTGAAGTGCAAATTGTGTGTTCACTTTTGATTTATCTTACGTTTCTTATTTTTAAGCTGTAGCGATATTTATTTTTTGTTATTGATTCATGAACTTGTAATTATTATTGTTTTTTTTTCTTCACAAGCTAGCTCATGGTGTTTTTTTTTATTTTAGTTTGCTCTGCAAATGGTCTTAAACTGTTGGGCAATAAACACAGGGTGCCCGAAAATCCTGGAATTGGTCACATTATGACCTACTAATTGGCAAAATTTTGATCAGTTATAGTTTTCCAGGTATATGTATATTGCAATTTCTTTACCAAAAATCAGGGCTTGTCTAGTTGAATTGTTGGCATTTCTGCAAATAAATTTTTTTGAGCCGGGTCTACTTCAAAATGTTTACAAATGAATGTTCCATCGAAGTCATCGCGGCTTCACTCTTATGCTCTGGCGAAATCCACATGAGAATTATTCTAATGCACCGTTTCAACGAAAACCATTTATACGTCCAACACCCTGTAGTAACTAAGAATCGGCTAGGGTCGCCGTGCCAAATACTTTAAAAAGTTGTCTACCTAATGCCATTCTTGCAATAGTACTATTGTCGAAATTTTTTTTGCGACTTCGTTTTGTATAACAATTTCAAGTCCGTCAAGCTTCTGGAATATCGAAGAACTGATTTTATGACTCTATGTTACTAATTTTTATTTTATCCAGTAGAGCAGATATTTAGATTGACGACCATTAGGCATTGGCCATTATGCGTCGTCTACATCTCTTACTAATCCTCTAAGTAATATTTATTTTTCTTTTTCTTTGATATTCAAAAAACAAGACGATCCTCCATTAAAATTGCTGTAAAAAGAAATTAGCCAACATAATGTTAGATGACAGTACCATTCTGAAAACCATACCGAATGTGCAACTTTTGCAGACTTCATTACGTAACTTAACCTTGACTCCGCCTAGGCTCAAGGTCATATTCAACGCCACCGGTAAATAGCCAGGAAAAAATACTAGGCCCCTAGTTTACTTTTAGTCCGAATGTATTATACACAGTTTTTACATTTTCTTGAGGAATGTCATCTCGTATCATATGCTACTTTACGAGTCAGGTATTCTCTTTGTGTAACTTACATCTAATTCCTCGATCTTGAAAAAAATTTAATATCTACACAGTACGAGTTAGCAAGGGTACAGGTATGCTACTAGCATTACAAAGGAGATTCCACTACTTTACAGAACATAATATTTTATGTCTTACTTCAAGGCCATTTGAACTTATTCAGGACTACACTTGCCTAGATAGAAATTCCAAGCAAAAGTTTAATATAGCTTTGACTGTATTTTCTGTTTGTACGCGGCATAAAGTTGAAATTAGATTTTCAGTTCTCCCTTTGCAGCCGCGTCTGAAATATATATCTGGATAGATGGTGGAATCGTACCAGTTACACCATAAGTAAAAATATAACACCCTCGGGAATATTATAGTAAAGGTAGATGAGAACAGGATTCGATTCCTTTTTTATGCCCACAGAGCAGCGGTCATACTGTAATCTATTCTCAAATACCTATCCATCGACAGATATGTTTGGTCTTCGGAATTTTCATTTACTTCCGCTTTGACATTTAAATATAGTACCGGGTAATCGGAATAGTGTCTGGACTCTGAAGCTTCTGGTTTCTAAAAATACATTTCTTCTTCAATTTAATCTCCCTTGAGTTTTTCCCAGTAATTATTTATTTGATTTACACATTCCATGAAGTGATTCTCTGGAAGCCCTCTACAATATCCATCTATATCTGCGATGGCTTCTTCACTTGGGCCTTTTTAAAATGAAAGTCAGAAGGTACCGAATCTGGTGAATAGAGTCAGTTTTCAACAAATTTAAAACGTAATTGATGTTTGCCATTTTTAAGGAGCTTTCCTGAGCAGGTGTTTTGTCTCTATGGAAGACAAAAATCATGTTGTCTTCTGTAAACTTGGTGTTTTCTCATGAGTTTCTACAGCCAGCTTATCGGCTACAATAATACCCTGCTATCATATCAGTTGTCTGCAGGTGACACATCGACAATTCAGAAAATAAATAAGGAACAATGAATAAAAGTATAGTGTAACCATTGAAAAGGAAAAAATTATTAACATGCAACTTACGGTTTATATCCAAAGTAATGGAGCTGGATATTGGCGTGACCAGATTGTTGTTTGAAGCTTGACAGGTAAACACCATGTGCAAGTGTTTTCTTTCTAACTTTTCCAAATGAAGAACATTCCGAACTCTGCGTTCCGAAAGATGTTCGTAAGAGTCATCGAGCAAGGCGTTTTCTTGCCACCATGTGACCTTTGGAGGTGGACGACCTGAGAAAAGATTGAGTTAGTAAATTCGATTTGATATAGTTATTGTTAGAATTTATTATTCGATATAGACATTCATGAGATTAACAAACAAAATATTATGAACAGGACATGGACAGCCCTCCTCTCATAAGCATCGAGCATGATAATGTAGTCGGGGCGGCAGCAACTGAAACATGTGAGCAGTACTAGATGCTGGGTCTTATATGGCAAAAAAATAACCAGTGTAAGCATGTTCATGGTTTCCATCGATTTCTATTTCCCTGCATCAACTGATTCCTTTCACCTTTGGAAGCAAAAAGAAGTCACATGGAGCAAGGTCCGGTGAGCATTGTGGATGCGCCAAAAGCGGTCTCATCTCTCCACAAGTCAGGTCTCTTGCTTCTCACTCGTTCAAGTACGTATTCCGGACCCCCATTGTTTATATAATTTTCGACTTTCATGATTTACGTGAATATCTCTTTCCACACATTTTGTCACGAAAATAAGTTTTCGTCTATAATTAGTATCAACAGTTCAATAATTACAACTCTATCTAGTACTAATATAAAAAGCTGATAACCACCATGACCTAGAAATGACGAATACAATTCCGCAGAAAGTCTATCTAGAAATTATATGTGTGTAAAATTCAGCTATATAATCAAACTCAATAATATTCGTGCAGGTAATCTCTGTATTGCGTGATATATAAAAACAATCAACACATTTTTATTGCAACTTGAATTTCTGTTAACAACCCATAATAAGTATATAGTTAAAGCTGACATGAGGATTTAATAGCACAGTTCTTTCTGCCTTGTTAGAGAAACTCAGATAAAGAACAGCCATAACTCCAAGCAAACTTATCAAATGTCCATGGAATTTCCAGGATCGTTTTCGCTTCAGCTGAGAAATCAATCATGTGTTTCTCTTTATCAGTAGGTAATTTAATAAGTAAGACAGTAAAAGATATCGGTTATGAGGTATGTATTACATTTTTATTAAAAGCTTGGAGGTTTACATACGAGTTATGTTGTAATTTGAATAGGACTATGTAGTATTGACAAATGGACTTGACTTTCGTTAGTGCATAAAGTGGCATAGCGATGTCAGTTCAAAAAAAGTACTTTTAGCGTATACCGCGCACTAAAATTGGATGGTATATCGAAGAATATTTAATTTATAAGCATCTCACCCTTCCTTATACTCGTTTTTTCTTTTCACGGTACACACACAAGTAATGAATTCAAAAATAATTCAAATTAAGTGCGAAATGCTCAACGTTTCAAAGCTTATGTGCCTATGCAATTTTATTGAAGTTTAGACCTTTCTGTGAGTCTAGAAACTTATAGTCGATACATATGTCTTGATAGGTTCTATGGTGGGCTGCTCTAGAATATGCAGCCTGATAGTATTTCAATCTTTTTGACTATCAATAGGATAGACCGCATCGCACCGCCAAGAATGTAGACTTACCTCCAGTCGAGACACATGTGACGTTAATAGATGATCCTTCGTTGTAAGGTCCTAGTACGTAATCAGGTATGTGCGCTCCGGACTCGTCAAGGACACTAAGCTTCTCTGGAGGAACTGGAAAAAATAAATTTGCAACTGAAATAATGTTTGAGGGTTTGTATACAGGAAGTATGAAGCAAAATGACGCATTCTTTTGAAAAAAGCAACTCAAAGCGGTCGGGATCGATGTAGGCCTAGACATCCTGAAATCTGTCTAGACTGAGCCATGGTTCAGAGACAGTTTGTATCAGTTTCTGCCAGAGGTCGTTAATAGAGAGAATAGGATAAACAAGATCCATCGCCAGCCTGATGAAAATAAGTTTTATTCCATCTCGGAGATTAGCTAGGGTGGCGCATCGAAAACGAAACAGACGCATTTACTGGCAGCTCAGTTTTTCAAGCGGCACACAAGTTTGGCAAAAAATCACGTTAACACGTTCAGCCCCCTGGGCGGGGGTGACACCAACCCTAAAATCTTAAATGGAAAGGGGGGTCGAGTGATACCTTACTTTAAAGGTCTTGAATTCCCTTTATAATGATGTAAAATACATGAGCTTCAGTTCAGTAGTTTCGAAGATTTATTGATTTAAAGCTTATGGTAGACTTTAATACGTATATCAGATTAGTTTGTACTACTTTCAGAAGAAATTTGACTAAAAGAATTTAGTTAATAACTAAATGCTTTTCCTCACTACGCCCATGGTTTGTTTAACATTTTGTTGTTGAAAATAGCTATTGGAGCGTTTTTTTGTGGCAAAAAGTTATTTCTTGAAGAAAGATAAGGAAATATATCGTACTTATTTTAAATAGGAATTTAGTACATAGTTTGCTATTGATTTGACCAAACTTTGTTGCTAAAATAACTTGTAACGCTTTATTACATAAATTAACCATTTTATATTCCACAGCAGCAAGAGTTTAAATTATCGAAATATTTTTCCGAAATAATCAGTGCGCTAATAGAACAGCAGAAATATTTGATTAGCGACATGAGAACAGTAACGTGCATCGAAAATATGTTCTAGAACTTGTAGCTAAATTTCGGGAAACTGGGTCAGTCGCCAATAAAAGACGCACCATTGAAAATCCCATAAGGAACGAAGCAATAGAAGTGGGGGTTTTAGGGCAAGTTTATGTAGATCCTACGTTAGGTACCCGCAAATTGGAGACTGTGTGTGGTGTTAGTCGACGTACTGTCCAACGCATTCTAAAGGCGCATAGTTTTCATCCGTATAAAATTCACCTGGTACAAGAACTTAATGAGGACGATTTTTATCGGCGATTACAAATTTGTGAAGTTATGAGTGAACGAATTACGAACGATGAACATTTTCTATTCAACACTTCTTTTTCCGACGAAACTTCCTTTTCTGGCGTAATAAATCGTCATAACTGCCGATATTGGTGCGATTCTAATCCCAGAATTTATCATGAGGTTCATACACAGCAGCCACAAAAATTAAATGTTTGGGCTGATATTTTTGGCGATCATATAGTTGGTCCTTTTTTCTTACCTGGAAATTTGACCGGCGAAATGTATTTGGAATTACTGGAAGACGTCATAGATCCTGCATTAACAGCCATAATTGAAAATCAGAATGATCGGCGGTAGATTGCGAATAGGTTGATGTTCCAACAGGATGGTGCCCCACCACATCATTCATTACGTGCTCGACAATATTTAGATCAGACATTTCCAGATCGATGGATTGGTAGGAGAGGTGCCATTGAATGGCCCCCAAGATCGCCAGATTTATGACCTTTGAATTTCTTTATGTGGGGTCATTTAAAAAGCAAAATCTATGCTACTCAGCCAACATCATTAGAAGACCTGCGACAAAGAGTTGTGAATGAGTGCCTTCAAATTACTCCTCAAATATTGCAAAATGTGCGGCAACGTATTGAGCAAAATCTTTATTATTGCATGGAGAGTCATGGTGGCCATTTTCTACTTTTACTTGCCTAACGGGTCAGTTCATTCTTCATTTCCAAATTACTTTGCTGCCAAATGTATTGATATCCACTAATCAATAAATCTTCAAAACTACTGAACTGAAGTACCTTAATTTTATATCATTATTAAGGGAATTGAAAGACCTTTAAAATAAGGTATTACTCGACCCCTTTTCTATTTAAGGGGGTGGTGTCAACCCCGCCTAGGGTGCTGCACGTGCTAACGTGATTTTTTGCCAAACCTGTGTCCCCCTCGAAAACAAAATCGACGGGTCTGAGCGTATTTCCAAAAAAAAACTGAACTGCCAGTAAATGCGTTTGTTTCGTTTTCGATGCGCCACCCTGTATATAGTACTATACTCATGGTCCCATGTACAGAATATTCGCTGTATCAAAGGAGTTACGGCACAGTGTCAAATCATGACAGTGATGCACACGGTTGCCACATTAATCAGAATTACTAGGTCCCAGGACGTCTTACAAGATCTACTTTGTCTTCGATGCCTTATCGCAACCAACATTACGGAGCGTATGTTTTGTAAACGCAAAGAATTTAAAAACTCACTTTGTTTATACATGTCATATATCACATCGCGAATTGCTGCTTGATTGGACGGTTTTTCATTGGGGATTCAGGTACTTTAGCAGATTTGCATTGAAAAGACAATCTTTTTACCGTTAACAAACCTATTTTCAATGCAACAGCGACACGCTGCCAAGAAAATAAGTAGATTAATAAATAAATAAATTTTATTTACTACCTAATACCTCTCTTACGGACTATAAAGGCAATGTAATGGAGCTCCATGATCTTCGATCGGTCTCAAAATATTTCGTCAAAGAAATGACGAATTCCCTTGTTCGTCGACCCAGGGGTTTCGACGTTTTAGCAAAATGCTTAAAAATTTAGAAATAAACTTTTTTTATAAAATAACAATGCAAATATTGACGCAGAAAGAACGAAAATAAACAACAGCCGTTGGCGTAATTACAAGCTTTGCGATAATGTCACATCATTGAAAACTGTGCCCAACATAAATGCACCCTGGAAATTCAAACTACACGTACCAATTTAGAATCTATTTTGCATTTAGGTTAGCATTCTAATTTACTAAATATGACGTAACTGCTTTGTTTCAGTGAAAGGACCATACGTTCGTCCTACCTGACCTTTTTCACTGCAGGTGTGGATAATACAACTGAAGCTCTGCCGTTGCATTGTTTTAAGTTTTTGATCTATGATATAAATCGTCTTCTGGCTTCCCCCTTGATGCTCATTTTATCTTGCTAACGATACTGAATTGTATTTTCCTTTCTCGTATGGCAGTGTATAGAGGTCAATTCTTCCATTCGAAATTCCATGTACACTTCTCCAATGAAGGCACTTGCGCTCCCACGCGGGGGGGGGGGTAAAGGAGGATAATTACCCCCCTAGACGACTTGAGCAGTCTTTGAAAAGGTGGTATAAAGTAAACGTCTTATAAACAAATCTGTAACTTTAAAAAAGGCTAGCGGCAACACTGCCAACCCGCTCAGTGTGCATGCGACTAGCGACTACTCTCCCACCAACAGCAACGGTGTGCGATACTTCTTGATGGAACAGGTATAGTCTTGTCTTTTATGGTCTAGTCTAGTGTCTAAATTCTGTACCAGTCCGGAGTCCGCAACAAAATTTGGCTGAGAAGTGAGCAAGCGGGGTTTTGTTTATTTGGTTGGGATTAACGCTATTTTCTATGTTCTATTGATTTTTTATTTTACACGCGTAAGCCAGAAAGTTAATTTTTGTTTGTTGTTAATTTTTATACTGTAAAAGAATCGTGTCTAAAGAAATGACAGACGGAAAAATGAAAATTTAATATAATTTCAATTACGAAGTGTTTGGTTCATACTCCTGCTATCGTTATCATCTATGTCTATTTTGTCTCGGAAGTAACTGCATATAAGCACTTCAGTGCATTTCGTTCATCCGAGATGGATTATATATTTAGTTTTTCAAAATTGCGTGAACTTAAGATATCTGGTTTTCCAAACCGAAAAGGTTCTTTGTTATGAGATACGTAAATGCGTGGAAACCAATAATGCTTTTTATTTGACAATATTTGTGTAACTTTTAGTGCTGGTTGACGTCTGATGTTGTCAGGATGAGTAAAAGGAAACAGAATACCATCAAAACTGATGATAACCCTACGATTCAACCTGAGCCTTCCACCACAAAATTTCTTGATGTTGCACCGTATGCCGAACCAAGTGTTGAACAATCGGGTGCGAAATCTAAAGGATCCAATTTTGTTGATGTTGCGCAATATGTAAATTTCAGCGGCAACTTGTCTTCACATGAAAAATATAACTTATTGAAGTGTGCAATGATCCCTAATGGCTCTTTCAAATATCCCTATTCCATACACTTGAAAAATAATAAAGAAGTGAAATGCTACTTATCAAAAAAACATTTTGGGAAATTTCCTTGGCTGTCATATTGTGAGGAACTACCAGGGCTTTTCTGTAAATATTGCATGGTTATTGCAAAATTAAAAGGAGTAAATACATCAACCCAGTTGGGAAAACCTGTTACAGTACCACTGAAGAAATTTTCGAAATTGTATGGCAAAACCGGTGATTGTGAGACACCCGAGAACTCAATATATCATACAGAAGCAGTTTCAGATGCTACAAACTTTTTAAGGATTTAGGAAAATCCAGACAATGATATAAGAAATATAATAGGTTCAGATGGAGAATTAAGCAAATATCAGAAAATTGGCAAGGATTGACTCCTATAATAGAATCTATAATTTATTTAGGACGCCAAAATATACCACTTATAGGGCATAGAGATGGGGGACGACTTTTTTCTAACGACAGCACGAATGACGAGGATATCCTTAATAATGAAGGGAATTTTAGAGAACTAACACGGTTTAGAGTCGAGATCGGCGACAATTTATTGAAAAAAAACTTAGCTATAAATCACAAATGTCAATCGTATTGCGGTATTGTTATCAAAAACGAGGACCTCATGGTATTTGTGGATTGCTACCCAAATTTAGATGAACATACAATGGAGCCCAAACACACAGGTCGAATTCTTGCTCAAACAGTCAAGCATTTCATTAAAACCAATAACATAGACTCAAAACTATGTATGAGGATTGGTACTGATACGTGTAACCTAATGTTAGGTGTACAAAATGGCACTGTAATGGAATTGCAAAAATGTTTGCCAAATGCTCCAAAAAGTCCATGCGCAAATCATGCCTTGAGACTTTCGGTTTCAGAAAGCAGCAGTGCCCAAGCAGTAAGCAATACTGTAGGGTATAATGAAGGAAGTAATTGCGTTCTTCAAGGCATCCGCTAAAAGAAATACAGTATTAAAAAGAAAACTAGACGGATATCAAATTCATAGTATGTGCGAAACACGATGGACCGAGAGACATGATTCTGTGCTCCAGTTTGAAAGCAAATTCGAGAAAATTGTAGAGGTACTAAATGTTATATAAATTGGAAAGACCGCGAAGCTTCTTCAAAAGCGGAGTCTTTGTTATTTTTTTCATGAAGATGTATTTTTTGTTGTTTTGTCTGACACTGTAATATATGAAAGTCTGTGCTAGATATTATTTTGTTTCAATATATGAAGATTGCTCGAGCTTGGTTAACTTTATTTACACTTTGATTTCGAATGATTCAAAATTAAAAAAAATTGTATGTATTTTCTACAGAAATTACTGTAACAAATTCATATGTCTGCATATGTCCATGCTTTTAATGTTAAATCATACGTCACACTGAGAATTTACTTTCCATTTTACCCATCCCAGACTGAAATCCTGGGAGCGCCACTGAGTGATGGACTTACATATAAACTGTATGGGCCTACTAAGCTTGCAAAACGAATACAAAGAATCATTTCGTCAATGTCAGTGAATCTCTACGTAACGCTAAACTTCAATAAAATTACTGACGTCCTTGTGACATGGCTAACACTGAGGCATACGCCTAAGAAGATTGAGATATAATCGGCCAGGAACCTGTAGCTAGAGATGTGTATGCTAATATTTAGTATAGACTTAATGATGTCAATAGATTATTCTCCCATTATTCTTCAATGTGGTATTTGCACCACCCTATATACGTCACACTGAGAATTTACTTTCCATTTTACCCATCCCAGACTGAAATCCTGGGAGCGCCACTGAGTGATGGACTTACATATAAACTGTATGGGCCTACTAAGCTTGCAAAATGAATTCAAAGAATCATTTCATCAATGTCAGTGAATCTCTACTTAACGCTAAACTTCAATAAAATTACTGACGTCCTTGTGACATGGTTAACACTGAGGCATACGCCTAAGGAGATTGAGATAGAATCGGTCAGGAACCTGTAGCTAGAGATGTGTATGCTAATATTTAGTATAGACTTAATGATGTCAATAGAATGTTCTCCCATTATGCTTCAATGTGGTATGGTTTTTTGTACCACCCTATATACAGTGATCTCGATGTTCGTGACAGAAGCAAGAATTTTCTTTTATACGGGTTCGAAACGAGTTATCCTACATTTCAAATAACTCCTTGTGAACGCAGGCTAGCATGGGGATTATACGATCATCGCGTAGAGATAAGGAATTAACCTGGCGCAGCAGTAACAAAAACTCCGCGAAATGAATCCTGACGCGATATTACGTGGTTGGCGGCAATTAGTCCGGATAGAGCTGTATAATCGGAGGTGCTTACTCAGTTGATGGTGGGAGGGGTAACGGAATAATGTGCTTCGTTTGTGGATTGAATCGAGCGAATTGACGGAGCGAATAAGTGGCTCGAGTTTCTGATTGCAGCAGAAAAAACGGCGTCAAGTAAGTTGATTCTACACTTCACAAGCAATGGTCTCATTATTTCATAAAGAATGTTTGGCACAAGTTAGACCCTCCGAGAACAAAGTTAGCTAAGAACTACATATGATAAGGAAAATAAAAAATAAATTTATTGAAAGAAGTTTATAGAATGAGTACCTAGTCCCTGCTCATATGACAACGATGCTATCTAGAAATTTATCTGCTGCCATACCGACAGTGCCGACCACCTAGCGACGAAGCCATGAGTAAAGGTCGCACACCAACGGTTTGTATTGTGTTTTGTTGAAAAAAGACTTATCTGTATTTTTCTGAGTTTCGTTGTTCGGTCTTAACTTTCCAATTTACAGTCGAACTGGTTCAAGCAACAATAGACTTACCTGGAGATTCTTGGCCTTCGTTACAGAGCTATAGAGTAAGTTTTTCCAATCGTTTAAAGAGTCTTACATTTGTGTTCTGCGTTTTCGGTTGTAGCAAGCTGCTCTCCTAAGCACACTCCATCCTACAGTCCCCCAAAGAGGCTTTACAGATTATTAAAAGTATTTCTTGTAATCGATGTTTTTTTCTACATTTTACAGTTTTATCGTTGATGCCCGTGCCCTGCAAGAATCGGCTTTGCACACTGTTTCAGTTTCAGGATGAATATAGTACAGTTCACAGATTCTAAGGCTGACTTCCACTAGACTGTTAAATGAGAGTATGGAGAACACATGAATCAATGATAACAGGTATCTTATTGAGCATCTAGGTCATGTGGATGTCGACCTTAATCAGCCAATCATTAATTATGATTATGGGCTCAAAACTTATAATGACATGATTTAGTAAAAACGTGTCCTGTCAATTGCTGTCTGTCCTTGAAAAAAGCTGTGTTATGCGCTAAGTGATATGCGCTATGGTGTGTACATTTGAACTGTTGCCCCAAATACAGTGTCCTTATTTGATGAGTCATTGTCAGAGTATTGACGAGATTTGTTCCACTGATCATTTTCTACACCTTCATTCATTCTTAGCTTGTCGCGAGTATAGTATGATCCACCAGAACTACTTTTTTTTTTTATATATCGAAACAGCCGCGCAGGCAGAAGCCTAAATGCCGGAACACCGCGGCCGCTATGATGATCCCAAAGAAATTTTGTTGATACGATTTTTGAACTGCCTAAGGTTAGTAGAACTGGGAAAAGCTTCCTCCCGTAGATTGTTCCACAATCTAGACACCCTCGGGACAAAGGAGCGATCGTATCGGCCAGTTCTGGATGTACGAAGTTTGACACGGTTAGGATGGGACGCCGAAGTCAGGCGGGTCTGTCTGGCAGGCACATCGCGCAGCGGCATCATGGAAGAGAGCTCTGAGGAGCAAAGCCCGTTGGTGTAGCGATAGAAAAGAGCTAGATCGCCGACGACCCGCCGGTGCGAAAGAGTCCCGAGACTGTCTGTTAGAGAAGAGTCATCGATCAGTCGGACCGCCCTCCTCTGGACAGCATCGAGCATGGACAATGTAGTCGGGGCGGCAGCACCCCAAATGTGTGAGCAATACTCGAGGCTAGGCCTTATCTGGGCCTTGTATAGAGTGAGAATGTCATGCGGAGAAAAGTACTTCTTAGCCCTAAACAAATAGCATAGCTTTTTCCCAGCAGCTGCAGCTATTGAAGAGATGTGTTCGTGCCAGATCAGGTCCTCGGTGATCTGGACTCCGACCAGCCGAAGTGAATGACTCTTTGGTAGAACTCGACCGTCCATCGAAACTGTATGAGCGCTAGGACGCTTTTTGTTCGTCAAAGTACAGTACTGTGTTTTGGAAGCATTGAACTGTACAAGATTGTTGCGTCCCCAAGCAGTGATAGCCTCCAGGTCTCTTGTCAGAGAAGAAGTCGTCGCTAGTCTTCTTTTTTCCTGCTCAGCGGCAGAGATCGGCTTGTCTCTCTGAATTCCTGCATGTAGAGTGCTGTCATCAGCGAAGCTGTGGATTGGGTTGATCGTGCAGGAAAGGAGGTCGTTGATATGTAAGAGAAACAGTGTTGGAGCCAAGACCGATCCCTGGGGAACACCCTGGTTGACGTTGTGGGATGAAGAGGAGAATCCGTCAATTACGACGGATACCTTGCGGCCAGATATAAAGTCAGCCACCCGTCTGCAAAGCTTTTCTGGGAGGCCATAGGATGGAAGTTTGCTTAAGAGGGCAGCGTGCCACAGCTGATCGAACGCTTTCGTGATGTCAAGAGCAACGACATGAGCCTCACCATGAGACTGGATGAGTTTACTCCACAGTTGCGTGACGTAAGCTAGGAGGTCCCCTGTGGATCGTTGGTGCCGGAAACCGTACTGCCTGTCGCTAATCAAGCTGTGACGTTCGAGGTAATCCAGAAGCTCGCGATTTATGCACCTCTCCATCACTTTACTTATGACAGAAAGCAGAGCTATAGGCCTGTAGTTGTAAGGGTCGGCTTTAGATCCTTTTTTTGGGATGGGCTGTACATGAGCAAATTTCCAGTTTTCTGGGAAGGTGCCGGATTCATAAGATATCTGGAAGAGACGCGAAAGAACTGGAGCAAGCTCCGCTGCACATCTCTTCAGTACAATGGCAGGAATCAAGTCCGGACCAGAAGCTTTGTTGATGTCGAGCGACAGGAGCACTCGTCTTACGGTCTTATGCCTGAATGTTACCTCTCGCATAGTGTGGGGAACCCTTTGAATGGACGGCACTTGGGCGTTGGTGGGGACGTCCATGGTGGAGTTAGCAGCAAAGATCTTGGCTAGCACCTCCGCCTTGGCCTTCGAGTCGAATACAATAGTTCCATCCTGACACGTAAGTGGTGGAAGGCTGCTGTGTGAGAAGTTCTTTTCAATCTGCTTGGCCAGCATCCAGAAAGACCGACTGCCATTGCTCTGCGACATTACCCTGTGCCTAGCTTTTATATCATGCTGGTTTCTGGCATTGCGAACCGCTTCGTTATATTTGTTTCTGGACTCGACGTCGGCTTGTATGTTCTCTACAGTGGGGTTTTGTAAGTAGGTTCTGTGGGCCTTGATCTTCTGCTGGCGAGCAGTGTCACACGATTTGTCGAACCAGCCGTTGGACCCTGGTTTAGGAACTTTCACTGTGTGAGGGATGTATTCCTCCATTCCGACGTGGATAATTTCGGTTATTGAAGAACAGACAGTCGACGCATCCGCGTCAGTGAAACAGACATCTCTCCAAGGAAAGCTAGAGAAGAAGTCTCTGAGCCCCTCCCAGTCGGCATGTCCGTAATGCCAAGTTTTGCGGCCTGTGCGGGTTTTTGCTGCCACAGCGGCTTCTGACCGAAACCTAACCTCCACAACACCGTGATCTGAGGTACCCAGTGCTGTAAGGGGCAGGATGCGTGGTCAGAAAGAGATCCAGCAGGCTACTGGCGTGTGACGAGACGCAGGGGAAAAAAGTAGGGCTCGTGACCAGCTGGGTCAGCCTTTGAGTAAGAGCGAACGCTTCGACTGCACGACCTGCTGCATCGGTCTTATTTGAGCCCAACCAAAGCTCATTATGGGCATTGAAATCACCGAGAAGAACTACCTCTGAAGCGGGGTGATTGATGTTCAGGAAGTCGATCTGGACGGCGAGGTATTCGAGTAGGTCATCCCAGTTATGGTGCGAGGGAGAGCGATAAAGGCAGCAAATAAATTTGGGTGATGTTTTGGAGCTGAGGCGAAGCCACAGAATGTCCTTCCGGTCTGATTCTAAAGAAAGATCCCTGGAGCAGGAAGGACTGCTGCGGACAAAAGCCACAACTCCCCCGTTCTTTCTCAGATTAGAGTGCACCTCGTAGTTTGGGAAGTTGAGATGGTTAATCGGTGTAGTCTCTGAGATTTTTGTCTCCGCCAAGAAAAGCACGGCGGAACGATTTGATTGCAGGTAGTGATGAACAGCATCAATGTTGCTGTTGATCCCGCAGATGTTCGAAAAACAAATTTTATCTTCGATGTTGTTCCCTCGAGCCCACCCTCCACCCGGACATTCCGAGAGTGGAGTGAGTTTACGTCCGGAGTTTTTAGTGCTCGAGGATCCATCATCATTAATTTCTTTGTTTTGGTAGATAACTTATTCTACTTCCACTTATTTTGACTGAAGCGCGTTCTTCTCAACTAAATGATAGTACTCCGCTATTGAGGTTGTCTCTGTAGCTATTTGAGTACATGAAAACCACATATACAGTATACAGGACTGGCTGGTAGGCTTTTCGGTGAAAAGCTTACTATATCATTAATTATATTAGATATCCATCCTACGATCCTTCCCATGCCCCTGTATTTTGTTTTCTTGTTTATAGGGGAACTAGTGTCAGGTTTGAGTTTTCCTAACCTGTATTCCATCATATAATCGACACAAAATTTTCGTCAACAAATTGTGATTTTTGAAGAAGAACATTGATCTTGCAGAATACTTATTGTGGTCGTAATTCCAAATGTATACGGTATACACATATCCTCTTTTTTAAAGTTAAAATTCGTATTTTGTTGCAGATAATACATACATATGAGCAGCAAACAAGTCAAGGATCTTGTCGGAAAATGCAATGCTTGTCCAAGCTAGACAAACATATCAATACTTAATACATAACTATTTCTACTATAGCCGATCGAACGTCCGGTTGTAGTAAACAACGGTACGTGTATTTATCGCAACAATTATTACTCTAAATAAGCAGAATACAAATAGGATATTAACTTTATAATACAGACTGCATATACGTCAAAGTGACGTGACGAGCGAACATCATTTTTGGTCGATTCCGAGCTTGAATACTTAATTAGTGCCGAAACATAGCTGTTCTGTAAGTAGTTTTAGGTATATCAAGTCTGAGCAGGAGCCCCGCAACATATATGAGTGTCTCCCAAGGGAGCTTGCCCCCTGGAAAGAAAAGGAAGGAATTGGAGGATTCAATGAATGCAATCGTTGAAGATAATTCCCAGGTCGGTAATGATAATACAATTGACAATGATCTACAATCAGGAGTAATGAAGGTAGAACTTCCTACAATATTATCTCCCAAAAAAGCAGATCGACCGCTTTTAACATATAAGCAGACTGATAAGGGCCCCTATCATGTTTATATCGAAAACAATGAACCAAATTTCTCAGGTAAATTAAACCCAGTTAAGGTTGGTGAAACTATTCTCAAAAATATTCCTGAAGTTGACAATATGATTAAAAGAATTGAATCGATTGGACGCAATAGGGTAAGGATTGTGTTCAAAAATCCATCAGCAGCAAATGTCCTGTTAAATAAAACGATTTTATTCAAAACTATCAATTTATACGTTTATATACCCAAATTCATTTTATATAGACAGGGTGTTATTTCGGTGGACAAAGACTTATCCGACGTATATGTGTTGGAGAGGATCAAACCTTTCGATTCTCATTGCATTTTCTCGGTGGATTCGGTTAAACGCATGCACCGGAAACCAGGTCAAAATGGTGACATTAAATATCTACCTATAAATAAGGTTGTAGTTACTTTTCAAGCACAAGACTTGCCTAAGCGTGTCGCTATAAATCACGTTCTTTTTGATGTAAATCATTATATACAGAAGGTAATTTTGTGTCATAACTGTATGCGTTATGGTCATTTGGATAAGCAATGTAGAAGCAAGCCTAGGTGTGCAAAATGTAACGAAGAAGATGTTACTAGCTCATGCCACAACGACTCTTTGGAACAAAAATGTTTAATTTGCGGTGGCAGTCACTACTCATTTGAAACCTCAAAATGTGATGAATTTGAGAGGCAAAAGGCAATTGAAAGGCATATGGCAATGACTAATTCTTCTTTTAGAGACTCAAACAATGCCAAAAACCACATATGCACCCATGAATTTAATAGGAGAGATGGGACGTTCATCCAACATGTTTCAGAATTGGTTATATATTACAAATTTTAGAGAAACAAACATCAACAGCTTGAATAAATCAACTATAACTAATCTCATAAGAGAAAGATTAAATATAGACAGATAAGTTTAAGAATTAAGAAAATTACAGCGTATTTTTAATCATTTTACACTTTTACCAAGGAGTTCGAACGTTATGAAAACATAAAATAGAATCTATACAATGCATTTACAATCCCCAATAAATTTTTTGAGGATATGTCTATGGAATTGTAGATCGGCGATAGCAAATAAAGGTAATTTGGAACACCTTTTAGAAGAACAAAATGTGGACATCGCACTTTTGTCTGAAACGCGGTTTAAAATGAATACATATGTGAAATTTAAAGGTTATAACGTTATCCGTCAAGACCGGTCAGATGGCAAAGGAGGAGTGGCTATACTGATGAGAAATAGTTTAAAATATTCTCAAATATCATTAGTCACTTGTAATAAAATAATGAAAATATGTTCTACAGTAAAGTTTCAAGGAATCTCAGATATTACATTCGTATAAGTATATAAACCACAAACCAAAATCACTAAATAGGAATGGATACAATTTTTTAGTTCCTTACACGGTCCATGTATTATAGGATGTGATTTTAATGCACATCACACTTCATGGGGTTGTGCTCAGGATGACGTATTTGGGAAAATCCTGATCGGAGCTCTAGATGACAGTAATCTCAGTTTCATTTACAATGGACATCCAACAAATATCTATCAAAATCAGCAATAGATCTTACATTATGTTCACCTCAAATAATTGACCATCAGCTAGAATGGCGAACCTTGCCCGACCCATGTGGTTCAGATCATTTGCCTATATTTATCAATTGTAATTTTACTCCAGAAAAATTGTCATTTGCATCAAATAGAAAATGGAACATAAACAAAGCTTGCTGGGATCAGTTCTGTTTCGAGAGTATGAATAGAGCTTATGTAGAACCTGTTATAGATTATAGCACTTTCATCAAAAATGTTAACCAGTCAGCTGAAGCTTCTATTTCGAAATATGAAAACAAAAATAATGTCAACGGAAAACCATGGTGGACCAAAGAATGTAATATAGCAGTAGAAAAACGTAAGGATAGTTTTAGACTATATCAGACAAACCCAAACGTCGAAACCTTACTTAATTTTAAAAGACTTGACGCGGGCCAAACAAATATTCAAAAAGGCCAAAACAGGAAGTTGGCGTCAATGTTGTTCATCTTTAAATAGTAACACCCCACTTAAACAGATTTGGAAACAAGTTAACTTGTATAAAAGTAGGCGACAGAGTAATTATCATGGTATAGAAGCTTCAGCAGAGTGGGTACAGGAATTTCATTGTAAGTTGGCCCCAAATTCTGTAAGTAACAACATCCAAAGAAGACTCTCAACGTGGACTAACCATGAACTGATGCAACCTTTTACCATGATAGAATTACAGAGAGTCTTCAAACAGAACAACAATACATCTCCGGTAAAGGACCAAATTCATTATTCGATGTTATACCAATTACCTACGACAACGAAACGATCGTTATTAGATATTTTCAATCAAATATATTGTGGGAGTGCTGAAATACCGAAAGATTGGTATTGGTATAATTATTCTAATTCTGAAACCTGGAAAACCAGAACAACATCAAGATTCATATCGTCCCATTGCACTAGCTTCATGCGTTTTGAAAGCATACGAAAGACTCATAAAGAACAGGTTGGCATTCTACTTGGAGAAAAACCAATTGCTCCCAAGCTCGCAATACGGATTTCGAAAACGACGGTCTACTCAAGAATTACTGATAAAGTTAACAACTGATATCCAAATTGGATTTTCGAATAACACGCATACTTCTGTAATATTTTTAGACGTTATGGGAGCTTATGATAATGTAGACTTGAATATACTATTCAATAAAATTATAAATATTGGTCTTCCAAAAGAACTTTCCAACCATTTGTTATTACTGTATAGCAATAGAAACATTTTCATCAGAGCCTCTGAGCAGACTATTGGACCACGATCAACATCTAAAGGACTAGCACAAGGGAGTATACTGAGTCCCATCTTGTATATAATATATTCCTACGACTTTGAAAGAGCTTTCAATTCAAGAGATGCTAAAATATATCAGTTTGCAGATGACTATGCCATTAGTACCCAGAACAAAAATTTATCTCAATCTATGGAACTTATAGAAACAGCGACTTCCATTGCACAAAAATGGTTTGAGAATAATGGATCTTCCATTGCCTACTCAAAATCTTGTGTATGTACGTTTACCAGATCTCGCCTTAGTCCTTCAAATACCATCACTCTGGCTGGGCGGAATATATCTTATAAAACTTCTGTCAAATATCTAGTAGTTATGCTAGATAAAAAACTTAACTGGAAAGAACATATTACATACATTTTAAAGAGAAGTCAGAATGCTTTTAACATTCTGAAGTCCTTTTCACATCGGAAATTGGGAGCAGATCCAGCAGTGTGCTTAACCTTTTACAGTACTTAGTTCGATCAATATTGGACTACGGATCAATACTTTATGGAAATGCATCTAGAATTCATCTTCAAAAATAGAACAGATCAAAAATAAGTGACTTAGGCTATGTATCGGATATTTGAATAGCACTCCCATCAATGTCATGGAGGTCGAATGTATCGAACATTCTCTTCAATTGAGACGACAAATGTTGAGCGATAAAGCCCTGGTTAAACTGGTCAGCAGGGGATTCATTAACGAGATCCACCAATTGTTTATTCATGGATTAACAGCGAAATACTGGCAACACAAAAGGCTTCCTCTGATCGTAGAGAGTTATGAGTGGCTTCTTCCTACCATCAAGAAGGTACACTCTAATCAAATGAACCCATATTTCATACCTGAATATTCTGCATATAACTCTCCATCCGAAGTTATCTTTACGAAATATTCAGAACTAGATTTATCAACACCTTACAAATTCCGGCATGATATTCGAACACGATGAAGTGGATGGGAATATATCTTCACGGATGGTTCGAAGAAAGACCGGGATGTTCATTTTATCACAGCAACAATTCGTATCACCAAGAATTCAAGTTGCCACGTGAATGTTCTGTATACAGAACAGCTATTGAATACTGTTTCCAATTCCATGGAAATAACAATTTTGTTATTTTTACCGACTATAGAAGTGCTGTAATAAAATTGGAGAATTGTCACCCCACTGCAGATCTTCTAATTGCGAACATCATCAACCGCATTCAGGAGCTGAATAGAATCGACAAAACTATAAACAGATCAAAGGCCACTAAAGTATAAAAGAAAACGAGATGGTAGATAATTTTGCAAAAAGAGGCTCTTCGAAGCAGACCTTGGTTTCAAGGAATTACCAATCGTCCTTACATTAGAACCGGGAGCAGAATGAGAAGTGGTCATGTCCTGACGCCCCATCATAAATCAAGAATTGGATACGGAGATGATCCACTTTGCAGTTGTGGAAATATAGGAACCTTGCAACACCTAATACTAGAATGTACAAGTGCTAACAAAGAAAATTCTGAATTCAATAAAATTTTAGCGAATCACCTTCCTTCTGATGATGATGGCAAAGTCCATTGAAAGCTAGAGAGAATTAAAAAAAGTATAAAGAGTCCTCTTTGCTTAAATTTTGTCGAAGTACCCTATATATATATATATATATACAGGGTTATCCAAATTAAGTGTCCACCATTAGTAACTTTGTTATTAGTGAAAATACAAAGTTGTTTGAATTAGCAAACTAGTAGCATTTTTAACGCTGGTAAAAATGAGAAATAAAAAAAACAATTGAGAGTCGTTATTTTGATTTTTTTCAGTAAAATAACATTTTTTTAAATGGAAACCCCTATATATTATATTTTTTCTGTTAAAGCATCAAATTTTAAACAAAAAAGTTCATAATGACTTTTCCGCTAAAGTCAAAAATAAAGTCAAAATAACGATAAATATTTTTAATTATTTGCAGTATTATAATATTAAGACGGCTATGAAAACAACATGGCGTTCGCGATTTGACAGCATTAAGATAAGCGACAAATTGTTAAACTGGACATACTCGCAACTAGAAGCCTTTGGAAAACAATGATAAAATCAAATAATGTCAAACATTAGTGTAAATACTTGTTTATAAGCTTTATTGTGTCATTAATTTAAAGAAAAATGTTCTCCCATGAAGAAAAGTGTGATATGTTAGAATGCTATTTAGTGTGCGGAAAATCCTCCTTGAGAGCAAGAGAATACTACAGTGAATTATATCCCGCTCGCATTCAACCGTATGAACGATATTTTCTGAGACTTTATCGAAAATTTAGGGGCAACGAAAATGTTTTTGCTAAAACAAGGGCAAAAAAAGAATTCATAATAAGCGAGGCCACGGAAATTGCAGTTATTGGATATTTTGAAGCTTATCGTGAGAATTCAATAGCAGATATTCTCAAGGACTCTAATTTCAGTTATGGTACTGTTCAAAGGATTTTAAAAAAATACAAATTTATTCCGTATAAGTACCGACCAGTTCAAACGCTTTTGGCAGGGGATCCAGAGAGAAGACTTGTTTTTTGCCATTGGTATCTTAGCTTCTGTCGCCAAAATGTAAATAACTTTCGTTACCTTTTATGGACAGATGAATCAAATTTTTCAAATTCTGGAATGTTTAATAGAAAAAACCACCATTATTGGTCAAGAGAAAATCTTTTGTTAGTACATCCAAGAGGCCCACAAGTCCGTTTCAGTTTCAACGTTTGGTGCGGTATAATTGGTTCAAAAATTGTTGGCCCGTTCTTTTATGAGGGAACCCTAACTGGTGAAAGATATGTGGAATTTATGTCAGAAATTCTGACTAATTTCTTAGACGAATTGGATCTTATAAGTAGACATCATCTGCATTTTCAGCAAGATGGCGCACCTGCCCACAACTCCAGAGGTACTTATCATTTTCTAAGTACTACTTTTAATGATCAGTGGATAGGAACAAATGGCCCAATACAGTGGCCTCCCAGATCACCAGATCTAGACCCACTTGATTACTTCTTGTGGGGTTACTTAAAGAACCAAATTTACAAGCGAAGGTACGATAACCTTGACGCGTTAAAGACTGCAGTTAGGGAAAAGATAACCCAGATAGATGGTAGGACCATACTTAAGACAGTTCGAGCAGTTGAAAAACGTGCCCAAAAATGTATTGAAGAACAAGGTGGTGTTTTCGAGCATCTTGTTTAAAATTGTTATTGTATTTTGTAAGATTATAAGTTGATGTTGAAAATAAAGTTTGTCGATACAATTTAATTGTTTCAGATTGGAGGCCATAACTTGAACAATTTGTAACCTAGGAGAAAAGTTATTGTAAGCTTTTTTGTTTAAAATTTGATGCTTTAACAGAAAAAAATATAATATACAGGGGTTTCCATTTAAAAAAATGTTATTTTACTGAAAAAAATCAAAATAACGACTCTCAATTGTTTTTTTTTATTTCTCATTTTTACCAGCGTTAAAAATGCTACTAGTTTGCTAATTCAAACAACTTTGTATTTTCACTAATAACAAAGTTACTAATGGTGGACACTTAATTTGGATAACCCTGTATATGTATATACAGGGTGACTTCGAAGTTGAGTCATTTATTTTAACAGTGAGTAGATCTGATCAAAAGAAATGTTTTTTTCCTTTACCATTTTTCTGGTAAAATTAAAGTAACAAAGTTATAGCCCTTTGGAAGTTTGAGTACCGCCCTGCCTATTATATGCTCGTGTTTGGCGACAACGGATATAATCCGCCTGACCGGTTCATCGCATCGGAGACAAAAAAGCGAAAGAATTTGAAACGTTTATCACGATGTTTTTCGTCAGTCGATAAATCCTGAGTGAATAGTAGTGTGTTGCGTGGCTCAAATGAAATCAAAAATGGCACATGTTTACGAAAATGCTGAACTTGTGGACATGATTCTTATTTACGGGGGGGCAGTCTTTACAAAATGCTCCCGGATGCCTCACGGATTTATGCGAATCGGTTTCCCAATCGAGTGCAACCAACCCCTCGTGCCTTTGTTAATGTAGTACAAAGGGCTCGTGAATCAGGTGACTTAAGACCTCACAGGTGAGGGCATGCTGCTCCAAGACCGCACGATCAAATACAGGTCCGCACTGAAATACTTGTCGGAAGGATACTTTATTAAACAAGGTAACATTTTTTTTTTATTTTTTTTTTATTTTTACACACATTTTGGTTTATCTTCCTTCTACAATCATTATCTGAAAATTAATGACTCAACTTCAAAGTATATGCAGGTATGCATAAAAAAAATAAAACAAACAAAATAGAAAAAAGGAAAAAATAAGTAAAAAGTATTGGTTAAAAAAAACTTAAAAGAAAAGAGCAATAATAATACAATAATAGAAATAATATACAATAGTAATATTAAGTAATGGATGTTCTATTTTCTATTAAAGCATAGCATTATACTGAACATAAGGATCTGGCCAGTTGGTCATCGACCAGTGCCAATAACAGAACAAAAAAAACTTTATAATAAAAAGGATCGAGGACTCAGACGTAACAGTTCATGACGAGTGTTTGGACCGGTCACGGTATATTTATTCTCAATTTATGCGGTTCTATAGACACTACAGCTTACGCGTGTGTTCTCAAAATGTTGGCCGTTGTTGTGTTACACTATATGTATATTTTTATATGAAACCAACCTCTTAGAAAATTGTGGTATCTTTTTGCTTTACGTGGACGTTCGGGTAGAGTAAATAATTCACATCTTTGTCTTTTATGACCTATGTGTTTGACAGCTACAAATAACTGCGAACCATTGATTATTTTTCAGTAATAATAAATAACGATTCCGGACGTTTTCCGATTTTTCAATTAACACTAATGTAAGGAAGCCAAATTGCTGAAGGCGTTAATTTTTTCCCATGTCTGCGTATTAATTAACAGTTCAGGAGTGTGACGTTTCTAAAACAAAGTTACGTGATCTGGGGTAACTGGTTTGATCAGTGACATTCCTGATATCATATATCATAACATATCGTCCTGATTGGGAAACAGATCGTGAAGTCCGTTCAGTGAGCCCCATTTCACTTTAAGGTCACACTAAAACATCTTCGAAGAGAACGACCTTCATTAATTTAGACAGTCACGTGCCGAAAGTATTCGTAATCGAGGTGCCGCTTGGAAGCGAAAGAATTATTCAAGAGTTGTAAGAGGAAGCGCCGCCGGCAGATATTAAGTTCCGGGTCAGAAACA